TATTCAGGGGTCTTGTTGTAGAAAAAGAGCTGCCGGAGCTCATTAGCATAACTCATTAGCATAACTTATTTGCATATGCCACGCCCCCTGACATCACCGGAAGTGACAGAAGGCCACACCCCCTGACATCACCGGAAGTGTGTCAGAAGGCCCGGCTACTTACCCTCCTGCTTCGTCCTCATTCCCGAATGGAATGAGGATCGAAGCAGAGGGCGGGGTGAAGAAGGGGGCGGGGCTTCACCACATGACCGCCCCGCCCCCTAGAGGTTCTCTTCCGGAGCTCCATACCTGAGAGCTCCCCCCCGACTAGAGCCCTGGCCTCGCCTCCCCTCTGCTCCGGCTGGTTCCACGTGACCACAGCCTATGTGTAGTCCTTGAGATGGTCTCCCATCAAGTTATGGACCAGGGCTGCTTCCAGGTGTCAGTGGGCTCTGGGCAGAGACTGGCCAGGGTCCCCTTCACCGCCTCCCGCTTGTTGTCACTCACACCTGCCTGTCTACCTGTCTGCATTCTTCTCCTCCACCGCTGCGTCACCTGCCCTTCCTCCGCCCACCTGCTCATTTTTCCGTCCTCCCACCGCTCGTCTTACCCTCTTCCCTGTGGGCGATTCTGCATCTGGCGTTCGCTCCACATTTTCTCAACACTGACCACATTCAAATACCTTGGGGCAACAGCGTACTGACTGCAGAGTCGCCCCTGAATGGCCATAAATCTATGGAGGCCATAAATCCGTGCAGAAGGTGCCATAAAACCCGATGGGCAAAGGAACCGAAAGCGGCATGCAGTGTGGAGGGCACTGTTCCCTCTAAACTGAGTTAGTGTGAGCTAGCTCACAGTTTTCAGCCTCCAGCTCACACCTTTTTGTCTTAGCTCAGGAAGGGATGGCTCCAGAGCAAACTAACACCTTTAATGCCAGCAGCTCACAAAGTAGAATTTTTGCTCGCAAGACTCCACAGCTTAGAGGGAGCATTGGCGGAGGGCACCATAAGATCCGATTGTCAAAGGAAGTGGAAGCGGCGTGCGACGCAGAGGGGCATTTCGGTTCCAACGTGGATTTGGTAAGACAACGGAGGGAAAAGCCAGTGCAGAATTGCCCAAAATTGGGCCAGGCATGCAGCTGGGAAGGTGGATGGTGGGAGGGCCGACCACAAGCAGATGGGCTGCAGCAGGGACGTTGGTCAGGTGGAGGCTGGCATCAGTGGGCCCCCACCAGAAGAGCTGGGCCCGGGCAGCTGCCCCCCCCCCTCAAGGTATGCTGATGCCGGGCCCAATGTTCCCTCTAAGCTGTGGAGTCTTGGGGGTCATTTCCTGCAGGAGCGCAGAGGAGCGGAGCTCCGGCAGTAAAGAGCCCAGGGGGCGGGCACATGCAACAAGCCCCACCCCCTGCTCCCAGCAGCCCTCAGTCAGAGCAAGAAGCAGCCAGGTAGGTTGCAGAGTTCCCCCGGCCCCCCGGTCCAAAACAGTCCAGTGGCACCTCTAAGACCAAGTTTTATTCAGGCACAAGCTCTCCCTCCTCTGCGAGGACAAATCTGCATGTTCTCCCCCCCCCCCAATAGCTGGCAATCCAAAACAGTCCAGTGGAGCCTGAGTGGTGGGTGTTGCCTTCCGACACACATCCGGTGATGTGAAGGGGTGTGGCATATGCGAATAAGTTATGCTAACGAGTTATGCTAATGAGCTCCTGCACCTCTTTTTCTACGAAATGACCCCTGACTGCATAAATTAGTTTGCTCTGGAGCTATCCTTCCTGAGCTAAGGCAAAAATGTGTGAGCCGGAGGCTAAAAAACTGTGAGCTAGCTAGCTCACACTAACTCAGCTTAGAGGGAACACTCGGCCCTGTCACAGACGAACCCCAGAAGTGGGATCACCTCCAGTAGCCTCGGTTCTGAGGGCTTACAGACATTTCTAGTTCACTGCCCTAATCCTGTGAGCTTGCAGTTGCGGGAGCTTCAGGGCACACGTGGGACTCCTTTGACCAGACAAAGGGATTCATACTTGGAACTGCAGCATTCTCTGTTGCAATGAGTGGAGAAGTCTGTCTGTGAGGAGCCCCATATGTCCGATCTGTGCTGAAATTCTGCAAAAAAGTTCCACTGTGACCATTTACGCAGTAGTGAAATCCCCCCCCCCACACTGACGTTTTTAAAACTGTGTTATGTGACATCTTCCACAGTAGATTATTCCTCGCCAGGCACAAACCCAAAGTTTTCTCCTTCTTACCCTGCATTTTCAGAATCCCCGGTTTTAGTGAGTTCTGAAAACGCGGGGTAAGGAGGAGACAACTTCGGCTTTGCGCTTGGTGAGGATAAATCTACCTCGGAAAATTTCATATAACACGCAGTTTTAAAAACGTCAATGCGGGGAATTTCACTACTGCGGAAATGGTCTCTGCGGCTGTGAGAGCCAGTTTGGTGTAGTGGTGAAGTGCGCGGACTCTAATCTGGGAGAACCGGGTTTGATCCCCCACTCCTCCACTTGCACCTGCTGATGTGACCTTGGGCAAGCCATAGTTCTGTCAGAGCTGTTCTTGAAAAAGAGCAGTTTCTGTCAGAGCTCTCTCAGCCCCACCTACCTCACAGGGTGTCTGTTGTGGGGAGGGGAAGGGAAAGGAGTTTGTAAGCTGCTCTGAGACTCCTTTGGGTAGTGAAGGGCAGGGTATAAATCCAGTCTCCTCCTCCTCCTCCTCCTCCTCCTCTTCTTCTGTATTTGCATCTCATGAAGAGTTTGCCCCTCATCCTCACACCCTTCCCAAATCATACAATATTACCGCACATTTACTCACATCTCTCTCCTTGTCACTAGACTTCACCTTCAACGTTTAAAGAATTCCCCAATACAAAAAAGGTACAGTAAATTTAAGATGCATGCAAATGGGTATACGCAAAATATGCACATTTGCATCTATTACACTGAGTTTCAAACTTTACTCAAACTAAAGACTATGTAATCTATAATTTGCACTTAATTGTCTTTACAGCACAGGGAACGCTTGCATTCAGCATTGACCCTCATCCTCTAAATTTGCATATTCTCTTACACTAATTATTTTTAAGGGACTAAACATGTGAACACATAGAAAACAAGTCTCCATGAATTCTGGAGGATATTATTCCAATTTATGCTCCTGTGTCACAGAGGAGAACACTGACATTGCTTACTTACAAGGCAAAATGATTTTTAAATAGCCAATATAGTAAGACCAGGCGAGTCCGTGTGCTACGTTGAGGCTGTTCCTTTCACATATTTCCGAAATCTCGGCAGCTGAGGGATTCTGTCGATGAAAGGGAACGAGAGCGCTTGTCAAATATTTTCCCCAGGAAACGGCAGTTCTCATCCTGTCTTCTTAAAATGGAAAATTTACCTTGTAAGACCGCTCACCTCCCCCCTTTTGCACAGCCCAAACTGTCCCCTGAAATCCTGTTCCGGATGGAAGGAGACCCCCATCCCAGCTCTGGCTTGAGAAATTCCTGCAGGTTGGGAGTGGAGTCTGAGGAGGGCAGGCTCTGGGGAGGGACTTCAGCAGAGTATGACATCTTATTGTCCACCTTCTAAGGCAGCCATTCCCTTCAGGGGAATTGATCTCTGGAGTCGGGAGATCGGCTGTCATTCCAGGAGGTCTCCAGGCCATGCCTGGAGGTTGGCAACTACCGGGGAATGGTGTTCAAGGGCCATTTGGAGCTGCCCTGGGAAAGGGGGGGGGGAGTCATGGTTTTGGGGCAGAATGCTACGTGGTGCTGGAAGTGCCAGGCTGAATGCAAGCCAACGTTTTGAAGAAATATTGTTGAAATATTATTACGTAAATATTCTGCCAACCTAGCAGTTCGAAAGCAAGAAATTGCAAGTAGATAAATAGGTACCACTTCAGTGGGAACAGCATTCCGTGCGCCTTGGTGTTGAGTCATGCCGGCCACGTGACCACGGAAACGTCTTCGGACAGCGCTGGCTCTTCGGCTTTGAAACGGAGATGAGCACCGCAACCCTAGAGTCGGATTCGACTGGCTTTCGAGCAAGGGAACCTTTACCTTTACCTTTTGCATAAATATTAACTGCTAGCGGGGAATCACAGCTTATTTGTATTTTATTTCAAATGTGATTTTAGCAAGACTACTTTTTTTTGAATATCAATATTTGCAAATAAAAGAAAAGGCTTCCCTTGCTCGGAAGCCAGTC